AACCCGACCCGATACAAAACTGAAGATATTAATGGAGGATGGGATGAGATTGGCAGTAGATCTCATAATTTGCTAATTCAGATTGCTCAGCTGCGTTTTAATGGAGGACTACGAGAATTTCTGTCCGAATTCGCCTACGGCTAACTGGGACCGTGGATTGGATTTTTATCTCTTGGATTGGGAAGAACACTCGGTGGATGGTTCCCAAACTCCAGATCGCGTTCACGAAAGAGTTACAAAGCTCCGCGATGAAAGATCGATATTTCGTATGTGTCATTTTTCTCTATATATACCTCTGTTTATTTGTTTATGAATCGAATTTTTGTTTGGTCCTCTGTTGTTGTGATATTGTTAATTACAATTTTTTGGATCATGGGCCATCAGGGGAATTTGCGATTTTGGAGCATGGGCCATTAGGGTTCGGGGAGCCTGTCTTGAATTGCTTCGAGTCCCGTCGGTATGCTCAGTCCGAGCAGAGGAAGTTGGCCAGGTTGATCTGTAAGAGGCGGTATGCGGCCGGTCTCGACGCTTTGAGTGGTAAGTCTGCTTCACACAACTTTTTGTATATAAACCCTGACTTGGTAAATTGGATGATTGAGATAAGAGGGGTGGAGGAAGATGAGGAGAAGGTGAAAAATTGGGAATGAGGTAATAATAATAATAATAATAGAAACTGGAGATAGGAAAGGGTAACCAATTAGGAGCCATGGATTTCTATTACTATATTTGATTCAAAGAAGATGTTGAAGGTGGAAGCTGCAAAGCGCATGAGAGGGAGAAACTCAGATGATATATGTGGCAGAAGTGTATTATTATTATTTTGTTTATTTGTGTGATGATTGCTTAGATTAATGAGCAAATGATATTTAGATTTGAGTAATTGAGAGCGAGATAAAGAGAGATCGAGATGCAAAAATGATTGATCAAATTTTGCATCTTATCTTATACTGGATGATTGTTGTTGTGTTATTACTCGCCAACAGCAACATATTTAGAATTGAATATCTGAATAATTTTGGGTTGTTTTATTATATAATTGACGCGTTTATTTGTGGCTAACTGCAATTTTTTGCATGTGTGTATATATATAGCTTATAATGGGGTATTCTGCTTGCATATGATCCCTGCCTTTTTAAAATGCAGAAATTCAAGACCGGTTTTCAAAATAACAGTAATTCAGAATACTTAAATACAACTAATTTACATTTTTTTTGGAAAAATTATGTGAAACGCCAAAATACAGCGGCATCTTAGCCACTGATGATACTCTAGAAGCTTAACTTGTGCAGTTAAAATATGTTTCTCAAAATATCGGTTGCAAAAGGAAATCTCAATTATAATATAATCATCATCATGGTCGAGTGGGGTTGCTAATTATTGAACTAAAAAAATATCTTTGATTGAGAAATCATTTAAATCTATTGCTTGGCTTCTTTTGGAATCTTTTGTCTCTTTCCTCTCTCCAGTTCTTGCTCTCTCCTTACGAAGTCTTTTCATGTATTTATACTGATATTGTGTCATTCTGGTTTCTTCGCTCCTTAATTTTTGTTCAGGTGGGGAGGTGTCGAAGCAACCCCAAACTAACTGTGTCTCTAAAAGTGAAACACTGGTCGAAAATTTCATCAAGAGTATAATGTCTTCTAATGAATCTCAGCAAATGGTCCTAAAATTGTCTGATGTGATCCGTTCTCTGGAAAACCAAGTGGAGACCCTTGTGGCCATTAAATTATGGTTTTGAGGAGGAGAAGGAAGAGCTCAAGATCAAAGTGATGAAAGCGGAGGACTTTGAGTGCAAACTTAGAATGTGGCTACCATCCCATGAGGCTATGCTGAAGAATGTCAACAAGGTCAACTTTCAAAGACATAAATTTCTAGTTGATTGCATTCTCAAAG